AGAAATCTCCGGGCAAGTGAAGAGGCACAAAGGGGCAAGTGAGCTCCCTAGTTTAAAACGCAAAGACATATAAAATAAAAGGAGTACATATGTTTCGTTTCACAGAAGATGCATGGGATCGAGGGATTTCACAAACCTTCCTGTGTGTAGAATTTCACCGCAAATCCGCGAACATCGCGAACAGTGTCGGCGGAGCCGCGACTTCCCAAAACAGTTGAGAATCGAACAAAGACGGGTGTCTCTCTGGAGGTGTCGGTAAAAATGCCGGCCTTGGTGACATCTTCCGCGGATTCGAAGAGCTTGAAAGTGCCGTGAGCACCAGCACCGCGGGCGTGAACAACGCGCTCAGGAATACGTTCGTGATCGAAGCGATGGATCTTGATATGCAGTTAGTATCCAAATTCTCCAAAGTCGAACGAGATCTGAACGATCCCAACATGGAGTAGCATACCTTCTCACGTCCAAAAGCGTCCTCGAGAAGACTGGCTCCCGTCTGATCCTCGCTGTTCACACGCAGCCAGTTATCAGTGTTGTTCTGCTTCACACCATAGTCCGAAGTGATTCGAGTGTTCTCGCTGGGCTCAACAATGTTGGCCTTGAGCTGATCGATCTTGTCGTTTCGGTGTCCCATGACTGCGTGTTTGATAGCTCCGGTAACTTGATCGGTCATGTCGAATCTTGGTCTTTATTCTTGAGTGAAGAAAGAATAATTCACTGAAATGTAGGCTCGAATGACTCTGGGTTTCGAAATCTTTTGTATTGCGCCGAGTTCAAAGCACCCATGAGCTGCCGACTTCAGAGCACGTTGGATTTACGTCACACATGCGTTTGACGATTGAGGTTTCCCCGCAGGCTGGAGAAATTGGCAGCTACAATGGGACGAGTTGTTGAGAAAAGTCGTCATGTTTCGTCAGGAACAAACATGATTGACCTATGAGAAGCTCAGAATTTCCAACGAGTAGACACGGAATGCACTCTGTGATGTGATCGTGATCTGTGTTTAGGAAGGAGGTGGATTTACTGTTACACCAGGAAAGAAAGCTCCGGTTTTGGTATCCCCCACTTTCCGCATCTGTCTCGCACTGCCGTTGAAACAACTCAACAAATGGTCGAGGTTGGTTTGTAATGAAGAATTTATGTGGAATCTTGAGGCTCGATGACCGCTACAATTCTGGATTTAGCAGGGATTGTTGTCTTTCTATGGATCTTCGAGAACGCGAGTTGTATCGATCTACAGCGGACTATTTACAAGCAACACAATCCCATATGCCGGATCGATTTTCAATATTTCCGGACATGCAAGCCAAAAAGCCTCATTTAGAATTTAAAGTTCGCAATTTCTTCAATATTTATCTCCTTCCAATATCCGACATATCCGTTACTGATACGTTGCTTCACAGATATCCAAGTCGTTACGTGGGGCAGTTGTCAAAGCGACGTCAATGTACGTCATCGATATAGCATCATTCCCTGCTTGAAACCGCGTCACTATCAAACAGTTTGAGTGAAACCAATGTGGTAAAAAACTGCCGATTCTTCAACCGATGTAATCTCTGCCTTATGTGACCGACATTTCTCTTCCCTTTCTCGGTTTCGTGAATCTCCGTTCAGCTTACTATAAACTCCAAATTTGATCTCAAACGCAAGATGCCAGGTGAAGTGATCGATCGCCCCAACCCGGCTCCGCTGGACAGTCATCTTCCGGATGTGGCTCTGGAATTGGCACTCAAGGCGCCAAAGAAGCAACTGGACAAGAAGATCGCCCAGTCGCTCAATGATTTCCAGCATGCCGCATGCTATATTGCAGGGTGTAAGTGAGTTAAATTGGTGTGGCACATGTGGCTAACGCCAAGACAGCCATGATCTTCCTCAAAGACAACGTCTTACTTGAGAGGGACTTGAAGGCACAAGATATCAAGCCACGATTATTGGGTATGTAAGCATTGCTCACTTTGGTGCCTAGCTAATGTTCCAAAGGCCACTGGGGAACATGTCCAGGCATTATCCTCGTCTGGTCGCATCTCAACCTCCTCATCCGCAATCATGATCTGGAGGTGATCTTTGTTATCGGACCCGGCCATGGAGCTCCTGCTGCTTTGGCCTCGCTGTGGTTGGAGGGATCTCTCGAGCGATTCTTCCCTCAGAAGTACGGTGTTAGCAAGGACGGCTTGCGCAACCTTATTACCGGATTCTCGGTTCCTGGAGGCTTTCCTAGGTGAGACGAGTCCTGAACGTTCAGATAAGGCCAAGCTAACTAGTTCAGTCACATCAACTCCGAAACTCCGGGTTCCATCCACGAGGGTGGTGAGCTAGGCTACTCACTAGCTGTTTCATTTGGTGCAGTCATGGACAACCCAGACTTGATTGTAACTTGTCTTGTTGGAGATGGTGAAGCCGAAAGTGGTCCCACCGCAGCGTAAGTTATTTGCATCTTTTCATGGCATTCACTAACTCTTTAGTGCTTGGCACTCCATCAAATATATTGATCCTGCCGAGTCGGGAGCCGTTATTCCCATTCTGCATGTAAATGGCTTCAAGATCAGCGAAAGAACCATTTATGGATGCATGGACAACAAGGAACTATCCAGTTTGTTCGCTGGGTATGGATACCAGCCAACCATCGTGGAGACTCTCGAAGAGATCGACAGCGAGCTTTCTGGTGCTTTGGAGTGGGCTGTCAGCGAGATCAAGAAGATCCAAAAGGCAGCTCGAGATGGAAAGCCCATTATCAAGCCACGTTGGCCCATGATTGTTCTTCGAACACCCAAGGGCTGGACAGGTCCCAAAAAGGTTGACGGCGAGTTCATTGAAGGCTCATTCCACTCTCATCAGATCCCTGTTCCCAACGCCAGCAAGGATGAGGAGCACCTCAAGATCCTCCAAGACTGGCTCAAGACCTACGATACTGCCCACTTGCTCAAGGACGGAAAGCCTGCTGAGAGTATCTTGGAGATCATTCCTCAAAAGGATGAAAAGAGACTTGGACAGCTCAAGAAGACATACGACCCTTATCAGCAATTGAAGGTTCCTGACTGGAAGACTTTTGCAGTGGAGAAGGCTTCACAAAACAGCTGCATGAAGCAGACTGGCAATTTTCTGAACCAAGTCATCAAGGAGAATCCGAAGAGCTTCCGCATCTTCTCTCCGGATGAACTGGAGAGCAACAAGCTTAGCGCGGTATTCGAGAATACAGGCCGAAACTTCCAGTGGGATGAGTTCTCTCGTGCACAGGGCGGCAGAGTCATTGAGATCCTCTCTGAGCATTGCTGCCAAGGATGGATGCAGGCAAGTATTCCGGGCTGAAGTCGGCAGTTATGCTAATAGCTACCAGGGCTACACACTCACTGGTCGAACGGCACTGTTCCCCAGTTACGAATCTTTCCTCGGCATCATCCATACCATGATGGTGCAGTACTCCAAGTTCAACAAGATCGCGCGCGAGACCAACTGGCGAGGCGATCTCAGTTCAATCAACTACATTGAAACCAGCACTTGGGCTCGTCAAGAACATAATGGGTTCTCTCACCAGAACCCATCCTTCATCGGCTCCGTCCTCAACCTGAAGGCCGAGGCGGCACGCGTGTATCTACCTCCCGATGCCAACTGCTTCCTTAGCACCATCCACCATTGCCTGAAATCCAAGAACTATGTCAACCTTATGATCGGCTCGAAGCAGCCCACCAGTGTCTTCTTGTCTCCTGACGAGGCTGCTGAACATTGCCGAAAAGGTGCAAGCATCTGGGAGTTTGCCTCAATTGACAGTGGCAAGGAGCCCGATGTTGTGATTGCTGGTATTGGTGTTGAGGTTACCTTCGAGGTTGTCAAGGCTGCTGAGATTCTCCGCGCCTGGATCCCTGAGCTTCGAGTCCGAGTCGTCAACGTCACGGATCTCATGGTTCTGGCCGCTGAATCCCGTCACCCACACGCACTCAGCCGCGCTGACTTCCTTGATATGTTCACGGAGGACAAGGCTGTATGCTTCAACTATCACGGATACGCCGCTGAGCTCCAGGGCCTTCTCTTTGGACGCCCTGGTCTGCACCGCATGACAGTGGAGGGATACAAGGAGGAGGGTAGCACTACCACACCATTCGACATGATGCTCCTCAACTGGGTCAGCCGATTCGACGTCGCTAGGCGTGCGCTCAAGGGCGCTGCCGAGTCAAATGACAAGATTAAGGTCAAGCTTGACGAGACACTCAAGAAGATTGATGACAGAGTTGCGGAGGTCAAGAAGTATATTCAGGACGAGGGCAAGGGTAAGTAAACTCCATGCACTGAAGGTTCGGCGCTAACAAATGACAGATCCTGAGGACTTGTATGATATGCCTAAATTTTAAGATGTTTTTTAGAGGATTTAATGGGGTAGGTAAATGTCTAGAAGTAATTTGAAGAGATAAGCGAATGAGACACGATATGCATGCTTTGCCCGAACATTCCGTGATCGCTGCGACGCGAGACCATTGAGATCATTGCTTCAGTGAAATAGTATGAACAACAGGTCAAAAGTACATGGACAAGTTTCTTCGTCATTTTGAGTCCTTACACGACGACAGGATGTGGTGTCTCTTGAAAAATCATATCCTCAACTTTTGACTCAATGGTCAAGGCTGGCATTGACAAGGATGCGAGCCAGGGTCAACGTGGTCTAGACTCTAAAGCCAAGCCAATCAAAAGGCTCAAATTGACGCCTCAAGCACGATTCAGGCAATTCTTGATCTCGGCCGGAGATAACATGGGGACGACGAAAACATAGTTGTTAAGACATCATGGAAGCAATATCTTTCCCTTGCACCATAGACCTTGTCTCATTTTTAGGCTTCTCGAAAGGCATTCTGAGTCACGGAATAGCTTGCTAAATATGCACAGCAAATTGGATGTCAGTGCGGTCCTACGCTTTGTTTACACTATTCTCCTTTGAGTCCTCTCTCTCCCAAAACCCATGATAGTCAAGGTCAAGTATACACGATACAGCAAGCGCTAGCATGAGATGGAGCCCTTCACGAAGCAAGAAACGCCTGTGCGTCTTCATACAAAGCTTCCATCTCTTTCTCCTCCTTGTCCCCCTTCTCACCGCCCGAATCGGTCGTCCTCGCCTTTTTAACTGTGGAGAGGTCCTGCTCCTCTGTTTCCTTTCCCTTGGGGGATGACTGATCCTTCTCGAGGTCGGAAAAGTAATCAAAATAACGTTTTCGTACAGTCGCCTCTTTGGATTCCAATGTCCTATAAAAGATTGTCAGTGACGTTTCCTAATGGTGCACCAAGTAGCAACTAGACTTGGCGAAGGAATATCGCAGTTAAGGTGGGAAGCAGGCATCCGTACGAGATGCCTCAAGCGATAAGTCAAAGTCGGAAGAAATCTAGGTGAAGAATATCTCTTACATTGTACTGTGCTTCTCCAACCAGGCCTTCTCAATCGTTCCCCTTTCTTTCATGATTCTTGTTGCCTCCTGCAACTCCGACATAATGAATTTACTGTCATCAGTTTCTCTCAGCTGTGTGAGAGTTCTGACGCACTCTGTGGCATGGTGAAGTCCAATCTCGGGGATTTCGGCCAGTTTCATGTGCAGCTGTACGGCATGGTAGGGATTGAGGCCTTCCTCCTTGACTAGGACTTTGGCAGCCTTCAATACTTCGATCGGAGGGCCCTCGTGTTGGAAACGGAGATATTGCTTGTACCGATCATACAACTCCGCTGACTTCTGTTAGTCTGCAGACTTCTCCCGAAAACGTACACCTACCTTGGCGAGCTATTGGCATGGGGACTGGGGTTTTCATGGTTAATACGAAGATGGGGATACTGTTTAGAGCTGTGGTAATGATTAAAGAATAGTGGTGATTGTGATGAAGATTGTGATGAAGAAGAAGATCATCTCAGGCCGATTGTGGTTAAAAGTCGAGAAACATGAAAGTACCTTCCTTTACTCTTTGCATATGTCAAACGCCGGGCAAGAAGCAGTTGACGATGGGAAACGAAGGATATTCTCTTTTGGGAGGAGCTACCTAAGCATGGCACCTCAGCATGATTATAGTACCTAAGGTAGGTAGCTTTCTTAGAGTTCGCACGTTTTGGTTAAAGCATTTAGCGTTCGTTACACTCCTCGTTACTGTAGTTTTTCGTGATCCTCACTGAGTATGTTACAATGTCATGAGCTACCCTACAATGGATGAAATATCTTACTGCGTATTAACTAACCCCTGCGCAACCAGGGTCATTACCTACTGGTAGATAAAGGCAAAAATAGGTACATAGGAAATCTCTTCCATTTGGGGAAACAATAATAAAGGAAGAGCAAACAGTTTGTGTGGGTCGTTTACGTTGCTTGTTTCCTTTTTGAATGGCTCTCTGCCCAGACTGTGCACTGCCATCCTCGCTCCTTCAAGGACACCAACGCTCCACGACAACTCCCTGAACACGTTCCAACACATCAAAATCAAGACCCTCTTGACGAAAAGCGACAATAATCATGTCAAAACTTCGCTCAAGAGCCTCCACAGTCCATTCGGCTTCATCAAGTCTTCGAATCTGAGGAACAGCGTTTTGCGACACAAGAGGATCAGCCCAAGCGACATCGACCTTGCTCGTTTCGACCAAACGTCTCGCCAATTCGAGGCCAGGGGAGTTGGCAAGATGCGACTGCCCGCGCTTGAAGCCAACGCCAACCACGAGAATGTGTGGTCGCAGACCGTGCCTGTCAACGCTGTAGAGACGCGTCACAGCGCGTTGTGCGATTTCGGAAGGACGGTCACGCATCTTCTCAGACGCTGCTCGCAGGAGAGGGAATTTGCTGTTGGAAAACAGATACCATGGATTGATTGGAATGCAATGACCACCAACACCAAGGCCTGGTGAGAACGGGAGGTAGCCAAATGGTTTGGTGGCAGCTGCGCGACACACTTCATACGGATCGATGTCATGAGCACCACAGGCATCCGCCATCTCGTTGGCGTAGGCGATGCAGACCATGCGCTGACAATTCTCGTACAGCTTCATCATCTCGGCAACTTCTGGCTTTGACACTGGCACAACGTGATCGAAACTCTTCGAGTAGAGCCTCATAATAGCATCGAGCGACCCTGGGACCACGTCGTCAAGTCCAGACACAATCTTCGGTATGGAGTGAGCTGGCGGCTCAGTGCGGCCAGGGTCAACACGTTCAGGAGACATGCCCGCGAAGAACCCACGCTCTTTTGCAAGAGGGCCAAGAAGAGCGCGCGTCATTCCCACTGCCACCGAACTCTCCACGACGACCACAGCGCCTTGGCGGCCGTAGACCTTGACCACGCCCAGAGCACTCCTGAGGTATGACGAGTCGATTGTTTTGTGATCAATCAGAAGGGTTGGTACTGAGATGAGAAAGTGGGTGACTTCAGCAAGATCTGAAGGCTTGCATGTGAACTTGGCACGACTCCCGACAGGTTGCTTCCGAGTCAACTGTTGAGTTCGAGCTTCCGATACATCATATCCAAGCACATCGTGATTTTTGGAGAAAACGTCGACTAGATGCTCGCCAACATAGCCAACCCTTATGACAGCAACGAGCGGCTCAGCAGTTGCATCAATGGGTTTGGTCACCACGTTGAAGACATCTTCTGCCTCTGAAATTTCACTTGGAGGAGTGATGTCGTAGTATTCTCGACTGGAAATATTCCACGACTTGGTTTCTGGCTCATGACTAACAAAAGGAAGCCCCTGAACAAGGAGGCTCTCGGCAAGAGTTTGAGCCATGATGGTAACGATCGATAGTTAACGAGTGAATGGGGTGAAGTGGACAAAGATGCGGAGAAATTATTGGGGTTCGACAGGAACATATGTATCATCAACGGACGACTATGGGCTCGTATCCAGCGATCCATCGATACTTCTGGCTTCACAACGCGACCGATGAATCGAGAACTTTTCCTTTCCGTTTCAATTCAACGGCTATACCGTGCGGCGTCAGGCCTCAGTAACCGGAACTTTCTAACACGATACTCCGAGCCTCGAGTGGAAACTTGGCCTACGACATGAACTGCCCCTGAATATCTTGCCGCAAGAATGCATCTGGCCACGCAATATCTTTACACCAACCAAGATGCGATTATCAAGTCACAAAGACTGAAACTAGCAACAGCCACTCCGCTATCCCAGCTTGAAGAAACTTGCGAGGGCCAATACAGCCTCACCGATGCCTTGGATGATTCCCTGTATCCTATGCAGGAGTCAACTAGCCTGGAAGCACTGCATCCATTTCAGCTGACGTGCCTGAATTAACATCCTAGCTCAGTCAAATTGTTGTACAGGATGACGAGGGTATGTAAAGATTGAAGATTAGTCAATTGTCACTCCATTTCGCGAATACCTTTCCAGGGAGGCATATGCTAGCACATCAGGCAGTGGTTGATCTATTGAACAGCTTGTTGGCTCAATGGCTGGTTAGTTTTCTTGATGGCGACTACATGATTGCTGAAATTATTGTGATGAGAATATGACTCCGCAATCAGGGGATCAGGCCTCAGCTCAAGCTTGCGGGCTGTTGAGTATCGTCTGCGATGCCAAGACGGCTTCATATTTATCCATGGGATTATTAATGCGTTTAACGGGACAACTTCAATTTCTTGAGGATGATTTCATATGAGATGCTGGCAGGATATTCACTGTGATACGGTGAAGGATAATATTAGGAGCAGGCCTTCAGTGTGGGTCAGAAACCTCACATCAACCCGACAGCGGAATACGGAACAGCCTTGAACCTGGCAAGGCTATCTCGCCGAGATGTTGACATGGCTTGCTGAAGTTGAGCTGAGTGATGTTACACAAGCTGACGGAACACGTCAGTTTCTTCCCGACGGGCATTAAGCTCACTGTCCCTGTTTCGTGTCTCGGTGGCGGATCATATTTTTATCACGACAAGGGTGCGAACATACAAGCGTCTTCAGATCGGCAGCCACCCTTCTGAACCATTCTAGACTTTGTGTAACGATAGACGAGAGACATTTAAATGGGTCGAATACGAGTGTATGTGCCAAGAAAAATTCGGATAATCCGACTGGAGCACGCTGCAAAAGCAAGGATAGCTGCAGGTGACTCGCGTTTTTGGGTGTCTGGGGAAAGTTTCCTCCCTGGTCTTGAGGCTGATAGCAGATCCTATCCTACCAGTTCTTGTCAGCGAATCATCACAAGCAAGAGCCAATTCATCAACATCGGTTTCGACGAGAAATATTGAGACCTGAAGAAGCAACCACGTCTTGCTGCCTGGTGTGGCATCAATGTATCAATATCTGCAAGTCGGATACTCTTCTAATTGCCAAGTCAGAGCACCTTCGACCTGCGATTGCCCGAAAATAAAGCAATAAATCAGAGACAGTGGTCTCACCTGATAATGGCTGACTTGCCGGGAATGGCTTATGTTGATCTCAACGTGGATCCTCATTGACCATTAGGTGACCTGGTATGAGGCCTAGGCTGCCGGGCTAGTACATCCAACTCGGCTGACAGTCTCTCGTGTTCAAGGTGCAGAACATGGGCGTTCAAACCGTCTTAATTTTAAGTTGGATGTTTACCTCGCTCAGGAGCTGCAGTTACGCGTGCCCCACGTAGATAAACTCTCTCAAGGCTTCATACAACTACGCATCGGCCGCTCGCATTGCCACTCGTTCAACTCATCATTTTCCCTTCCTTCGTTCCAAGTATATTGCTTCCGTTTCATTACTATCGCTCAAAATGAAAGCCAGCCTTCCCGTCACCCTTGCTTCCCTGCTGCTCCATGCAGGGACTGTTCTGTCTGGACCAGTCTTTGCAGCGGATGATCTTCTGTCATTGCGCAATTCTAAGTTGAGGAAACGTGCCGAGTGTGGTCTTGGGATTGGTTCGTGCAATCCTGGATCCTGTTGTTCAGAGAGTGGCTTCTGCGGAACAACCGGAGACTTTTGTGGTGGTTCTGCTTGCCAGCTCGAGTACAGCGATTCGTGTGATACTTTGTAAGTGCTATCCGAAGCTTGGGAATCACAGACGAGATCTTGTATCGTCCAAGTCCTCGTACTGCAGTAACAGATATGAATCTGACATGGAGACCAGTTTCGGGCCTCGTGGAAGCAGCACGGAAGGGATCTCTCGACCACAGCTTGGCAATGTCCCGTATGGTATGTCCTTGCACCAATTCTAATGGCCGTATGCATTATTAGATGCTTACAGCAGAAACAGGCACTGTCATCACAACTTGCACTACACCCGGTGTGATTGCTCTGACATTCGATGATGGCCCTCTCGACTACACCAATGACCTCTTGGATCTTCTGAGTGAAAGAGATGTCCAGGCCACTTTCTTTGTGGCCGGTAACAACAGGGCCAAGGGACATATCGATGACTCGTCCAACCCATGGCCTGCTGTGATGAGGCGCATGTACTCTGCAGGCCATCACATTGCCAGCCACACTTGGACTCATCGCAATCTCAACGAGGTCAACAGCACTATCCGAAGATCTGAGATGATCTACAATGAGATGGCCTTCCGAAATCTCTTTGGTTGGATTCCGACCTACATGCGGGCGCCATACCTTGAGTGCAATGCCGCATCTGGCTGCCTCGATGAGATGTCCGAACTTGGATATCATGTTGTGGACCAGAACATTGACACGAAGGACTACGAAAATGATAGCCCTGCTTTGATCCAAATCTCCAAGAATCGCTATTCTGCTGGAGTGTCGTCCAACTCGGACAGCAACCAGTATATTGTTCTGGCACATGATGTCCATGATCAAACTGTTCACAATTTGACTGCTTTCATGATCGATACTGC